ACAACAATTTATTATTTCTCACAAATCTGTGGGTTTTCTGGGCTTAGCTGGGTGTATCTTCTTCTGGTCCTACCTGGAGTTACTCATGTGGCTGAAACAATTTGTCAGTTCAACTGGGGTTGGAGAATCTACAGTGACCTTGCTCAGTTGTCTGAGGCCTTCATGCTGTCTGTTGTGCTAGACTTTTCTCTCCACATGGTCTCTCATCATTCCATTATTTAGCCTGGGCTTCCTTTCATGATAACAGAAGTTTACCAAAAGAGTGAAGGGCAGAAGCTGTGAGGCCTTTTAATTTTCTAGGCTTCAGAACTCACACGCCATGACTCTTGCTCCGTTCTGTTATTCAAAGTCACAAGTCCAGCCCAGAGGCAAAGGTTGTGGAAATAGACTCCACTCTCTGAAAGAGAATTTATAAAGAATATGTGGCCATATTTAATCTCCCACAGCAGTGTATGCACAGTTGTTGAGTACAAAATTTGTTTCTGAGCTTGCTGAAAATGAGGCATAAGGTATTCGCTTATCAGAATGAAGAACAAACACTAGAAAATTCAGTTTTTAAAATCCCTTTATTTTTTAATACATGCTAATTATAAAGAATTCCAAAAATGCAAAAAAATAGAAAGGAAGTAAAAAATAAAATACACTTCAAGTCTAATTGCCCAAGAATAACCATTGTTAAGATTAGTTGTAAAACATTCCAACATCTTTCTATGCCTATACTATAGATAGAAAGATGGATGGATACTTAATTGAGTGAAAGACAAAGTTAAACAAAATTAGGATAATTCTCTAAAGCTAATACAGAATAGCATTTTATATCATTTAAACAGAAGAAAAAGAAAGTGAATGAAAAAGCATAAGACATTTTATGTGCTAAACAAATCTTCTAAAGTTAAAAAAATTAGGAAAATCATTAATAGGTTACAGTCATATTTTTAACTATCTTTTTAAACCTTAGACAGGATTGATTGTATCCCTGTTATGAAAGATAAGGATGTTAGCACTGTTATATTTTATTTTACCTACCCTCTTGTTACCTTCAAGTTTCTGTTCGTTATATGATTATCAAAAAAAAAAAAAAAAAACCTAATTGAAAAATATCCAGTCCTCAAACTGAGCTTTTTTCACAAATCATTGCAGAGGTGCAGAAAGAATAATAAAGTCAGCTCAGGCTGTATCAGATCTGGGCAGACTTGCACAGAGAAAAATGGAGGAAGCAAGAAACCAGAGATGATATATAACCTTTGTTGGAATGCTTGGCTTTTCTCTCTGAGATTTTATTAAATATCCAATATTAGAGTCTTTCTATCTAGATAAGGGTTTAACTCATTATTATGTGGGGGTGTCACTAGATTTCAGATTAGTTCCCCAATTCAGTATGCATTTGTTCTCAGAACCTTCATCTTGATCACAGTCAGCCCCTTGTTTCGTCTCTTTCTCACAGCAGCTGCTTACAAGATGAAAAAGATAAGAAGTCTCTTTCAGTTTGTCTCTCTCTAGAATTGAAGGTATTACTGAGATTTTTAAGGATTTTGATAATTCATCATTGTGACTTCTTTGGGAGCCAAAGCAACATTGGGAGCCTCACCATTCTGCACTATGCTTCTCAAAGATCTTTCGTTTCTGTCCTTGACCACCCAACTTTTGAGATTTATGACTGAAGCTAGATATTTTTTCCTATTTGCTTGTTGCTGGTGGAGATTTTTTTCTCTAGTTTTTACTCTTTTTTGTTTGTTAGATGCTGAAAGGGGGAAATTCTACAATACAACTTCATTCTGCTATGCTAACCTGGGAGTTCAAGGCAGTAAATTTTTAAAGAAATACTTTCAACATAAGGGAAAATTAATCGTTAAACTAGACAATGCCTTCAGCCTCAGTTTTGCAACAGATGCAGAGAAATTTTTCATAAAGGTGGTTCATGCAGAAATCCTCAGTGATATCCTACCTGGTAGAGGCAGCCAAATTTAAGGTGCATCTCAGAACGAAAGGGATCTTATAGGTGCAGAAACAAATGTGATAAGATAAATTACTTTCAGGTGATCTAACATGATAGCAAAACAAGACTCAGAAAATCTAGAGTGGCACATAGTTAGAAGGCATATTTAGTCTAGTTTAATGTGCATATGTATCACCATCAGGAGTGCATTTTCTAAAAATGCAGATTCTGATTTGGTAGGTCTTGGATAGGACCTCAGATTCTGTATTTCTAACAAGCTCCCAGGGGATACAAATGCTGCTAGTCTTCAGATCATACTTTTAGTAGCAAGGTTCTAGACAACTGTAGATTCAGGCTCCTCTACTTGACTGAATCTTTGAGACCAGGGACTGTGCCTTATTCATCTTTCTATCTCTGTTATCTAATGAATTGCCTGCATAAAAGTATGCTCTGAAATATTTTCTTGTTAAATAAATGAATTGATAAGTTAAATAAATATACGGCTATTAGGTGCCTGAAGTACTTGTATTCTATATCAGTGGTTGAAGGAGAATCCTTATGTTTTGGAAACCAACTGAGTGAATGATAGGATTGCTATTTTGTCTTAAAAACCCAAAAGCCTGACTAAAATTTTTGCTCAAATGAAAAACCATTGCACATCACACAGATAGTTTGGACAACAAAATATTACTTCCCAAATACTTGAACAAGTCTTTAATTGAGCTCAAGATATCAAATATTGTTTAAATGAAAAAAGTCTATGCAGTAGGTATTACCAGTTATCCATTCTGGGAATAGAAAAACTTAAGTAATATTCCTATGGTACAACTAATTTCAAGCTGTATGACATCTTTGTGGGCTCACCCAGTTGAGTTAGCTGTGAAATTCACTTTCAGGTAACTGAACAAATTGTCTCTTTATATTAATAGTTCTCAATTGCTGAGCTGCATTTTAAAATTACCCGGGAAGCTTTTAAAAATCCCAGTGCCCAGGCTGCACCCCAGAGATGGGACCCAAGCATTAGTATTTTTTCAGGCTCCACAGATGCTTCCAGTGTACAAGCACGGTGGAGAACCATTACTCTTTATGGGCTCTTTGAAACCAGGGTCAGTCTTTCATTTATTTTTTAACTCATAACACCTAATACATGGTGTGGGTACTCAGTAAATGTTTGCTTGATCAATGGGTAGATTATGTTATAAGGAAGTATTGCCTATTCCCTAACAGTAGCATTCTTCAGTATAAAGGAAATATTTTGACTATCTTTATTAGCATCTCAAAAATTTGAAAAGTTTGAATGCCCTCTTGTTATTGACAAAACTGAAAATTGTATTAGGTATGGATATAGTTTTTTAGTGCTTGAGATATTTTGTTGATACAACTTGAATTTCATATCACTTTTTATGAAGATCTCATATAAATAGAGTGTGGTCAGAGATGAGAAAGCTGTGGCATAGGCAATCCACTACTGAGGTGGTATACTTAGGAATGTTACAAAGAAATCTAAAGTGTTCCAAGATCCATTAGTGGGAGGACAAGATCACTTAATCTCATTGCTGAGTTGTGGTGTCAACTATGCTTTTTTGTAGATCAGAAATAATACTAACTACTTAGAATGATGAATTTTTACACTTTTCTACTTTGTAAATAGATAAAAGCACAGGCAATGGAAATTTTAAACTTGCTTGGGAAACCACCTCATAATCACTTTTATTATAATACTCATTGATTTTTGTGTGCGTGTGAGCTTTCCTCAAAACAAAATTATATCATGGATGTTCTGTATCAGGAAGTTCTTCAGTTAGGCTCTGAGTAGTCTACAATTTATAGCTTTTTAAAAATAATTGTCATTATTAAAAATAGTTGTCATTAATTAAACATAGCACAGAAAAAAATTCCCTTCAGTTGGAGCTTTGGACTCTCCATTCCTGTGATACTAGGATGAAATAAAAATGTGCAAGAATAGGGAAAAAATCATTTTTAGATTGTGAATTTGCCCTTCTAAATAATTATCCTGCATTTTGTGTCCCTGATAAATTTGAAGAGCTGAGGGCGTTGTATTTTACATCTAGTTATCAGCCTTGTACTTGTATTTCACATCTAGTTATCAGCAACTAAATGATATAATGGTATTATTAAATTTTGGATCTGAATTGTAAGAAGATAATGAAACAATATTATACCAAAGCTGATATTTGATTACAATTTAAATGAGCACTTTAATAGTCCTTTTTAATAAATAGATAAAATGTAGGATGAATGAATAGAATTAGCAATAGAGTAAGCAGACAGGTCCTAGTTCCACTTCTTTACAAACTAGCTGGGTAACTTTAAGTAAATTATTTAACCACTTTGTACTTCAATTGTCTTATCTGGAAATAAGGCAACCATGTAAAATAAATCCTGAAAAATGTAAAACTTTCCTAAACAACTTGAAACTTAGCAGAAAATATTGATTCAGTGACAGGCAGAATATAGGGAACATATATTGAAGGTCCAACAGATCTGGTTTGAATCCTAGCTCTTCCTCCTTCTAGTTTGTGAGCCCATGTGCAAGTATGTTTCTTGATCTCTTTGAATCCATTAATAAAAAATGAATGAGTCTGTTTCCTTGAATATAAAGTTGAAGAATGATTATTTACCTGACAGGATTGGTGTAGTTATTAAATAATGAGATCATATAATTAACATCTAGATAGTGCTCAGTTTTTTTTAACCTGAATATATTTTGAATGGCTGAAAAGAACATCAGATATGCCATGTAAGTACGTAATAAAAATTAATGATGAACTCTCTATTTATGGTATTTCCTGTGTTTCATTCACTTCCAAGAATTTGGTGCCTTCACCATCATTTTCTATAATGAATAAAAGAAATACCCAAAACTGCAGTGTGTTTTGATCAACAGTGAAACTGTTCCATGAATTGTGCTTCACAATTTTCCTGTTAATTGTTGAAAAGAATCTGTGTTTCCTTACTGTATACGAAGTATTTGTGTACTTGAATGTTTTGAGCAGTCAGGCAAGTCCTTCCGCATGTAACAATATTATTGTTTTTCTTTCAGGAAACCTTGATAGATTGGTGTGATGAAAAGGAACTTAATTTGATCTTAACAACTGGAGGAACAGGGTTTGCACCACGAGATGTCACTCCCGAGGTGAGATAGTATATGCCTTTCTCATATTCAAGGAGTAGACTATTCATGTTATTTTTAATCCCTCTTACTATTTTTTATATTATTTCTATAATTTTGCCTATAGGCAGAACAAGTGGTTTGTGGTTCTAAGAATGTGAAAAAGTTGCTATGGAAGAATTATTATATTAAAAAATGTTTCTTGGCTTGATATCATGATATAATATGAGGAAATGACATAATATGAGGAAAGTTGAACTGGTCCAGAAGGTAATCCTGCATTTGCTCAGTGGTCTGTGGTATCAGCTGAAATTCAGGCGTATTGCCAAAGGAAGTGATAGCAGAACTCTGACTCTTAGCGTGGCGTCTGGTTTGATGTGCTTTCTTAATATCATTCAAACTGTATCTGATTTCTCTTTTCTTGAGATACCCTTGTCATTGGTCTCAAAGCACAGTTGGATGACTGCAATAGAATATTTATACCAGTTTTACAGTACATTTGGTGAAAAAGGGTTATATATTCTATAATTTTAAATGTGAATTTAAGTACAGAATTTAATAAGCCAAAAAGCAGAATTAATGTCTAAGGCTTCATGCCACAAGAATCACCTTCAGTCTTTGCTCAGGGAGATAATCTAGGGAAAGATGAAGAGTAGTCAGTGTTCATTGATACAGGGGGAAAAGTCTTTCTTTTTTAAGAAAGCCATAAACTTCAGGTGTCACTTCAAAGTCATATGCAAACTTATATTACCACTTGTAACATTGTTTACTTTACTTTCCAAAAAAGTGTTTCTTGGCTGAATTTCAACTTCATGTTAACTGTGTCCTTCTGTTTTCAAATCAGTATACTATCATATCTACTGTCTTATTAACAGCAAGATATGTTTGCTCTGCACCCTACTGTCCTTCTTACTCTAGTATACAGTAGTAGTTTTCAAACTTTAGCCAGCACCACAATCAGACAGAGGGCTTGTTAAAACAGATTGCCGTGCACCGCCCACAGAGTTTCTGATTCAGTAAATCTGCAGTGGGTCCCAAGAATTTGTTTATCTAACAAGGCCCCAGGTGACGTAGATGTTGCTCGCCCCTAGACCGTACTTCCAAACTTTGAGAAACACTGTTCTAGCATATGAAAATGCAAAGTTTTTTAACAAGTTGTGAAATATTTTCTATTCTTCTGTGTAAAATTTATGGCCAGAATGTTTTTGGATATTGTTATAATTAGGCTTATAAATAAAAGAGTTTTGCTTTTAAAGCAGTCAGAATAGAGTTGTATTGGGAAATTGTTAACTCCAACTGTTTAAAAAAGAAGTCATGGTTACATAATTTATTTAGCTTCTGCGTCCTTTGGCCAATTTTTACATTTCTTTTAAGGTTTGAGACTAACTTTAAAAGTACAATTGTAGGGAAGCCGTGTCTTGTAGAGGTGTGTTTGTGTTTTGTTTTGTTTTTAAGAAAATCACCTATCTATGTGAAGACGTTGATTTTTGGAGTTTCGGTGTTAAGTGTTTGAAACTAAATGACCTTGGGTTTATATATCCCTATTTTTTTGTGTGATGGTTTGATATTTTCGTGTTACTTATTTTTATGTCAAAAAAGTAGAAAAAAAGTTACCATAGAATTCATTCATAACCAGATAACAACATTATTTTTAATTGTGGGGAAATAATTTGCATCACAAAGTTAAGTATTTTGTATTCTTTAGAGCTTCAAGTTAATACCAAAATGCTGGCTTGAAAATTCAAACCTTTGAATTCTGGCTTGGCTATTTGCTAACATGGGGACTATAGACTAGTCATTAAACTGCTCTGTGCCTCAGTTTCCCATAAAATGAAGGAAATGAAAGTACCTGTCTACCAGGGTGGCTGTGAGGATTCGATGAGAACTATTCCCGGCATTTTAGTAAGTGCTATGTAAGGGTTAATTTATAAGGATTAATTTTTTTTTTTATCATTAGTTGCTACCTAACTACCAAGCGGACAAATTTGGGGGTATTTTTTGTATGTAACTACCAAATGGACAAAAACTGTCTTATACTAGATTTAAAATCTATCTGTGAAATCTTCACAATCTTGTTAAATTATTTTTTAATTTCGATATAGTACACTTCATATTTTATCTTTTCTGTCTCCATGTACATCAGAGGTCTTGAATTTCTGCCATTCTGATATCTGTTTATCCCCTCACCTTTTTTGATACTATTAGTTGACAAGAGTCTGTCTCTTTCCATGACCTTGTATGTTTCATTATATCAGAAGTTGAGAAGTCCTTTTTTTTTTTTTTTTGGTGAGGAAGATGGGTCCTGAGCTAACATCCATTGCCACCTTCCTCTTTTTTACTGAGAAAGATTGTCCCTGAGCTAACATCTGTGCCCATCTTCCTCTCTTTTGTATATCAGATGCTGCCACACCATGGCTTGATGAGCAGTGCGTAGGTCCACACCCGGGATCACACCTGCGAACCCTAGGCTGCCAAAGTGGAGTGCGCGAACTTAATCACTTCGCCACTGGGCCAGCCCCAGTCCTTTATTCTAAAATGAAGTTTTTCAGTTACCTGAAAACCTTAAAAGTGCTCTTATATTCTTATATTCATATATGCCTATAGCAACTACCTAGGTAAACTGTATTAGGGTTTTTTTTAAATAAGTTTAAAATATACATAAATATGTGAAACAGGTAACTTACCTGATTCTGAATATCTTAATCTTTAATAGTCACTTTACTTCATATCCTATATATATAAATACATATGGTATGACTATCTTCAGCAAAAGTCCATAGGACTATTAAGCCTTTGAAAAATAAATATACCTAAAAGCAATATAGGACCACCCCAAAATAATTCTACTGATTTCCCATTTACTCTACACCCTTAAATAGTTGCAATTCTTATAATATCTAAAATACAATACTGGGATGTCAACTAGGAATCCAGAAATTTAATTTTGGGCCTATAATAGTATAGTTATTTGTCTTTAAATTGTTTGTCTTGGATAATTGTGCCTAAGAAGAGAGGAAACTATTTCTAGACCACATTTACGTATATACAACTTGGGGTTACAAATATTTTTAGAGTCAGAATTATTAACTTCTAGACTTCTTTACTTCGATACTAATATTAATTAATAATAAAGGTAAAATAATGTGAAACTTCTTCCTTAAGGTACTAATATTTTACAATCAGTAATTGTCAATAATTAGTTTGATCTATAAATACAAAGCACAATTGTTTGTGGAGGTGTGTGTTAGAAAAAAAAACGAAGAGGGAAAATGATAAATAGAATGAATGAAATAAAGCAATCTAAAGTTATTGTCAGTGGGTGTGAACCTTAGAGAAAATGAAAAGTTTAATAGACTTAGATTTCTTCCCAGGTCTATTAAAAAGAAAAATAGAATAGCAAGTTTAGTAAAGTGTATTCTGTTTACATATTTTATAAGAATACGGCAATCAGAATTGATTTTCCTAAATTATGAATTGGTTTCTATTTTTAGGCCCTGTATCTTAGAATATGTTTCATCTGATAGTTGCATGCCTGCTGGCCTTCTCCTGCCTCCAAACATGAGATACTATCAAAGATAACATATAATAGCATAATAATCCACACTCTTCAACTTTTTAGAGTTTTATTTTGATATGAAAAGCTTTATTTTTTAAGAATAGATTGCATTTTCTTTGTTCTGATAAAGGTTGCATAATCTGTTGGCATTGGTGAAATGCTAGTATTTATAAAATTCTATGGAGCATAAGAACTCATTGTTATACAAAGTTTTATTTATCTCTTCATGTCCCATTGTCACTTAAAAATGATGTATGTCCAAAATAGGTATTATTACATAAAGAATCTTTTATTATTCTTAAAATGTAAAAGTATAATTAAGGACATATAAGTGAGATAAAGTGAAAACTCTTTAGGCATAAAATCTAGAAGACACTAAAAGATTAAGAAGCATAAAAAAAAAGAACATCTATATAATTACAAAGAAAGGTTTGAGTATATGTTATGGTAAATTAGAAAATATTAAGCTATTTAAATATTATAAGGTAAAAATAATTTTTAGCACTTTTAAAGTACTAGGCTATACCAGAATAAAGGGTTGTAAGCTAATATATTATTTTGATCATGAGTTAAAGAGTTAAACAAAAGCCTAGCGTACATCCTAGGTTTCATCCACTCATTCATTCATCAAGTTTTTTATTTACTTATTTATTTTTTATTTTTTTGTATGTGAGGAAGATCAGCCCTGAGCTAACATCTGCCAATCTCCTCTCTTTTTTTTTTGCTGAGGAAGACTGGCCCTGGGCTAACATCCATGCCCATCTTCCTCCACTTTATATGGGATGCCGCAGCAGCATGGCTTGACAAGCAGTGCGTCGGTGCGCACCTGAGATCCGAACCGTGGGCCGCTGCAGCAGAGCGTGTGCACTTAACCGCTACAACCGGGCCGGCCCCCAAGCTTTTTATTTTTAATCTTTAATATGTATCCGATGCCATGTTGGGTGCTGGAGTTAGAAAATGAATAAGGCGTGGTTCCTATCTGCAAGAAGCTCTTATAATCTATCACAGGAGTTGGCAAACTACGGCCTGTAGGCCAAATCCAGCCTGTCATCTTTTTTTCTATAGTTTGTGAACTAACAATGGATTTTGCATTTTTAAATGGCTGAAAAATATCAAAAGGAGAATAATATTTTGTTTTACAAGGAAATTATTTGAAGTTTAGGTTTCAGTGTCTGTAGATGAAGTTTTATTGGAACACAGCCACACTCATTCATTTATGTGTTGCCCGTGGCTACAACAGCAGAATTGAGTAGTTGCCACCAAAACCATATAGCCTGCAAAGCCTAAAATATTTACCGTCTGACCCTTTGCAGAAAAAGTTTGCTGACCTCTGGTCTGTTGGATGACAGTAAGTCATCTTTACTCACATTGTTTATTGACTTTTTAAAATTTATTTTTACCTTTTATTCTTTAGTAATCTGAAATAATGTTGGGTTTCATTTCTTAAATTTTTTATTTTAGAAGAAAG